AATCACTTTTATTGTAGAGATCCAGGCCCAGACCCTAGGCTAGGCAAGCTCATTTCAGAAAGTACCCCCGCCCAGAGGAATTTAAAAACTCTTGCTTCAGCCAAACATAACAGAATGTCCTGTCAAGAAAGTAGAAGATAAGCTACATGTTTTATAGCTCGTTAGAAGAAAATAAACTCGCCATGCTTNCTGGCTGCTGGCCGCTCACGCTGGCTGCTGGCTACATACGGTAGCCCATGGCAACCCACTGCCACAGGGAGTGCAGCCTACGCCGTCGCCGGCGACTCATGGCAGCCCAGCTCCAGGTTGAGCTGTCGTTCAGCATCTTAGCTGGGGAGGGCAGTGTCACTGGCCCTCATATGTGGGATCCGAACTGGGGCCCTCTGGTGTCCCAAGGAGTTCTTAACCATCGCGCCACTCGGCCGGCCCCTAAATTTTGAGTTTTAAAGTCCACTTATTCCTGTCATTTTCCTTGTTGATATAAACAATAATAAATATTATTCTCTTTATAAACCAGAAAATTATGACACAAAGGCAGTGATTGATTCATTTAAGGTCAAAATGAAAGTAGTTAAAATAAACTTGGGTCATGGTGATCACTTTGGTGTAAAATGGGATGTCAGTTTTTAATAATAAGTATTTTTAAACCAGCACCTAGCTGCATTGAAATATTTATTCTATTAAGAGATATAAGAAAATTGATGCTGAATTAACACAAAAATATATTCTTTACACTGAGAGTTTTTAAATGTATGCAGCATGCCCACCATATTGTAACCAGCAGGGAATTTTTTGATAAATGAAGAAATTAATGCTATTGGAGGTTATTTATAATAACACAAAGATATAGCACTTAAGTTTCCAAAACACTGCCAAAAGCATCATATTGGAACTTTCCAATATTCTACAGAGAAGGCATCTGTTCATTCATCCCACAAATACTTAGGTGTCAACTGTATAAAAATGATTGTGCCTTAATTGGGAGGTATCCCTTTTAGAGAAGAAAAATTAAGTTTCACTGGGCTGAGTGACTTGTCCAAGATCTAATGACAAGCAGTTCAAGAATCCTAATCTTTTGACTTTCAAACAGGACTTGCTCTGCTACATCATGATGCATAACATATTTTATACTGCAGTATACTCTTTTTCAACACGTCATGTATAACTCTTCTCCTAAACTAAACAGGAAGAAAATATTAAATAAGATCTCTCTCTATTTGAGTGGTATTCTATAACTCACTGTACAGGTTTCTGGGGAAGTGAGATGACTATAAAAATAATTTCTAGTTTACAACATGCTTTTCTTCACTAGTGGCTTTTGCCTTGCTTGTTAGAATTAGATGAATAAGCAGGTTGCTTGCCCGGAATACACATCTTTTTAATAACCCCCCCACACACAAGAAAGTCAATTACTGAGGACCTTCTTAAATTCCAATAACAATCATCTCATACTTTTATATTTTTAAATAAATATGTATATTACTTGGTTCAAACCCAAGGAAACAATTCTAAAGGCAAATTCTTAACATTCAAATCCAATATGATCTGATAGTATCAATAATTTCATTAGAATATCCTGTTAATATTTAGATTGTCTACATAAAAAGTTAAACAAGAGGTGTTTTTATAATATTTTATAATTTAAAGATTCAGGCCATAACTTCCTGTTCCAATCTCCACACAATACTTCTTGTTAAAAGAAGAAAAGCAATTGGGAACAGATTCTAGGGCTCATTTCTAATTATCCTCTGGTCGTAATGTTGACAAAAAAATATCCAGCCTAAGAGAAAACTTATAAGAGTTTATTTGAGCCAAACTGTCGACAATTGCCGGGAAGCAAAATCTCAACGAATTGAGAAAATGTTCCGCAAAATGGAGGTTTGCAGTTTATTTTATACATAAAATCAAAGGAGGAAGTTACATGAAATCCACTGGTGATAGATGAAGGGGGTGGGAGAAAGCAAAGAAGGAAAATCTTTTGGGATTGGATAAAAGTACACTGGAGAGACAGATACTCCTCCCACACAGGTGGGTGCAGGATAGCTAACAGTTGGCTCTTTACAGCACAAAGAGATGGTAATAAGGAGATAAGCATAATAATGAGGAATTTTGCAGTTTCCAGCTCTGGTGGGGGGGGGGAGGATTAAAGATGTTATTATGTTATTTTAGGTACAGAAAGACAACAAGCCCAACAGGCCCACTGAAAAGGCACAGATGAACTTAATGAGGAAGCTGAAGATGTGACTTCCCACCATGGCCCACTTAGTTAAAAATTTTTATGTTCACACCATCATCTGTGGTTATTTTCAGTCTCCTGAGCTTTTCAGGTTTAACATGTGCCCTTTTTCTGACCACACTATACACACTTCACATTTTCCTACTTATGCAATCCTATTTCACTTTTCTCAGTCTCAAATATAAGCAATAGTCAACAACACTTTACCTTACCAACAAAACGATTTCCCCATCATCACCCTCATCGGGGAAAGGATGTTGAAGTATTATATGTCTGGTACTCTGCAAACCTCATGCATCTGTTTTCCTTAAAGAACCAAAATAACTATCAAAACAAACAGATTCCTTTAATAGAATATGGATGTTCTGGAATAAAGCATTGATTTTCTTTAAAGTCAGGTGATTCTGTACAAAAAAGATTTGGTTCCATTAACTCACCCACTCCTCTTTTTTCTGGCAGGAGGTTGGGTGGTAGGGATTGCTTTACAAAACTCCATCTCAATATGAGGATATTTTCCCAAAGATAAGTATTGACATGAGCTTCCATGGATCTTGCCTGAGCATGGAAGGATGAATTAAAGTTATTTATTTCTATTACTAAATCTCCAAAGGGATTAGGGAAAGGTAACTTTTACTTGGTGCAGCTTCAGCCACACATAAAGAAATCCTGCCGTCTGTACCACTAAGAAGGAAACTGTGGCCATGTACCCACAGGCATGTTTCCTGGACTATATCTCTGCTTTCATTTTTGAGATGCCAGCCACAGTCTTTCTATGTTAATTAACTGACAACCAATATATCAGTCTAACAATATGCTGTAAGTCTTTTGGAACATCGTTAATTATTCCATTGGTAATTTACCATTCACATATCTCAGATTAGAAAAAAAAAATCAGGTTGAGTTAGGAGCACATCATAGTTCTCCTAGGAAGGAGTCTAAATCAATGGTACATTTTCTCCTCCTCAGGTCATCATTTCTGACCTATATAGGGCAATACAGCTCCCAAGTAGCTCAAAGACTTAGAGGCCTCTGTTCCCTTTCTGCTAAGCAAGCAAGTAAGTGGTAAGTAACAGTCAAGAATAAATTTTTCTTAGAGAGTAATTGCTACTCTCAACCATCACAAAACAAGGGCCCATCAGCCCACCAACAAATACCATCTTAACTGCATCAGAGGTTTTTTGTGTTGAAATTGAACTGTAATTTTTCAAAGGGGCAAACTCCACAGTGTTGGTTATGTACACAGTGTCATATGTATTTACATGGTTGCAAAAGTCCATCCTTGCAAGTCAACACTCCACTGAACTGAATGTGCTCATTGGAATTGACCAAGCTCTTACTGAAATGTCAGACATAGGCTATAAATTTGTGTAACTGCCTTTACCCAACGAACGCTTTTTATTAAAGTAAAATGCTGGGCCGGCCGAGTGGCGCGGTGGTTGAGAACTCGCTTGGGATGCCAGAGGGCCCTGGTTCGGATCCCACATATGAGGGCCAGTGACACTGCCCTCCACAGCTAAGATGCTGAACAACAGCTCAACCTGGAGGTGGGCTGCTGTGAGTCGCCAGGGACGGCGTAGGCTGCAGCCCCTGCTGTAGTGGGTTGCCATGGGCTACCGTATGTAGCCAGCAGCCAGCGTGAGCGGCCAGCAGCCAGCATGAGCGGCCAGCAGCCGCAGTGAGCGGCCGTCCAGAAGCCGGCGACTGATCTGCCTTGCCAGGGAAGAGCGCAATGATGGTGCCAACTTGGGCCAGTGAAGCAGCGTCCTCCACAACTAGATTGAAGAACAAAACGACAGCAACTTGTCTGTTCCCCTTCCCCCAATTCCCCATCACTGTTCCCATCCCCCCAATTACCCAATTAAAAAAAAATCTTTAAAAAAAAAATAAATAAATAAAGTAAAATGCTTATCAAGGTCACTGTGAAAGACTGTAATTTTAAGTTCCAGGGGAAGACTCCAGAAATAAGAATCAACAGAAAACAGATTTAATTAACACTTTAAAGTTTATGGTTTGTCAAGAACCTATTTTCCCCTACCACTTTTTGGATTTCAGTGACAAATGTATTTTCTACAACTAAGAAGCCAGAATGCTATCAAAACCCAGCCATCCTAAAAAGGCACACTAAAGCTTTTCATTTTTCTGCCTTCTAGCAAATGTGGTTTGAGCAAGCAGTCTTTAGCTTTAAAAGGCTACAAAAACAATGCTAAATTAAAATGTGTGTGTTTTAGTTAAGATTCTACAGGTGTAGGTATACTTGGAATTCTGGGTGAAGAGAGGGATCAGGTGTGTATATATACATGTTTGTTCCTGTGCGTTGTTTAGCAAATTATAATTATATAAAGTATAACAGAAGGTGTGGTTAAACAACATCTACTTGTGACTTTTAGAGTCTTACAAACTTATAACACAGACAAGATCACTTTAAACTGTATGCATAAGACAAAAAATAAACCCTCTTACAAAATGCCAGATTATATTGGTTTGGGGAGAAAAAGACATACACAACTGCAAAATTATGTTAGATCAACAATATGAAAAATATCCAACTAAGAACTTACTATAAGTATATAAGCCAATATTGATAATTTTTAGTATTTTTGTCACAAGAGATTTCCTAAAATAATGATGCAGGAACAATCATTTAAAAATCAAATTATCTCCTTAATCCACAAGGAAAAATAATACTGTTTATAATATTTCTGTTAAAATCTTGAAAAAAGTCATTAGAGTTGTAAATAAGCAAAAAAATAGTATTATCACTTACCTGTCAAGGAAAGATTTAGAAGTCTTTTAGTTTCTTTAACGTGGGGTTTTGGAGTAGCTCTGGAACCTCCTCTCACAAAGCTATTCCCAAAACGGTTGCAATTCTCCCAGAATGTTTTATTTCAAAATGAGTGGGCCTTTAAGCATTCTGACCCCTACTTCAGAGCCCATGATTTCTCAGAGCCTTTAAGAATTTTGAACTCACTCTTCTGCTTGCATTTCTCTCAGGCCCCTATAAAAAATTATTCTTGAAGTTGCTGCTGAGAGGTTAATTTGTGGAACAAGAGTACTCCTCAGAGTCCTGTGTGGTAGTTGTAGCAGGTGAATAAGGAGGCTTACTTTTCGTCTATCAAGGAAGGGGAGGAGAGACGAGGGGGTATTAGGAAGCACTGCCTTTTAGCTGTGAGGAGCAGGGAGCCCAGCTGCCCGTGGCGACGACAGTGGTAGCAAGGACAACAGCTGTGGCAGCGGCAGCGCAGTTCTGTTGCTGTGGCTGCAGCCTCGTCTGGAGACGCTGTCCATCCCCCTCCGGTGCTGAAGTATGCGTACTGGAACCTCTCTGCAGCCCTTCTCCAAATCGCACTTTCCTCCACCAGAGAATGCAGAGGGTTTCCTTGTCTTCCAGTCTCACCTTCTCTCCTCGCGCCTTCTGTTTCGGCAGGGGTTAGTTGTTTCTCCAAAATAATATTCTCATACTTATTTGGTGACAACGTTTCCGGACATTATTTGACGTGGAAGTAGGAATCCGTGGGAAATCATATTTATGCCTCTCCAGACTTTTCGGTGGCTCTGAACGAGTTTCCAAATGAAAGGAAACGCACGCACACGCGCGCGCGCGCACGCTTACGAGAGGGGAGAGGGGGGAGAAAAGGGGGAGGAGGAAGTGGGATAGGGAGAGGGAGACTGAGAGTGAGAGAGGGAGAGAGAGAGAGAGAGAATTAATACATATTATGAACAATAGAAAAGCCAGAGCTTCTTTGGGTTTCCAATTATATGAAATGGTAAGGGCTATTTTGGAAGACTCCAAATCTTAATTACCAATTATGGGGACCGCATTTAAATTCAGAGAAGCCTAATTTGAAATTTCTAGATTAGACACAGTAAAGAGGTCGTGGATTCTTCTTAGACCTTCCAAGCAGAAACGACAGCTTATTATGAAAAAATAAAAAGAGGACAAAAGAAAGAAAAGACATCTTGGCTTTGCTACCTTTTAAAACGGTGCTGAATTGGTTCCGAATCGTTGAAGAGCTGCTAAGAGGATCCAGCGGACGCTGTTCTTGTGAGTGTCAGTGTTCGGGGAGTCTCGAGAAACAGCTGGGAGAACAGAGAGCCTCTGGAGGCTGCATTCCCAGGGCAGTGCTCTCGAGTCGCCCACAACCCAGGCTCCTGCGGGGTGGGGTGAGGGGATGGTGTGGGAAGAGGCTTATTTCACAAAGGATCGAATAAGGAATGCATAATCAGTAGGAGGGCTCGGCCATTCCTGCCCCTTTAAAGACAGAACAATCCCCAACGCATCCGGCTCTAAAGCCTCGGTTTCAGCCCATTTCCGCTCATGTCTCCCATGCTGCCCTCTAGCGACTCCTTGGTCCAGAGCCTGTGCTCTCTCCAGGCCTGGCAAACGCTTCGCTCTGGCTCGGTACAGTCCCCTACTTCTGCCCGCCCCACCTGCTTTTAACAATGGAGCATAAGGAAGGGTTTTTGTGGGTGGTCCCGTGGGCAGTCACCGATGGCTGTGCTACCACTCGACAAGGGGTGCAGACGCCAATCGGTGTGAGATTGGGAACTTGAGATACACAATGGTGAAACAACGTTTAAACTGTTGAAAAACTGATCTAAATCGTGTCCACGAGGACCCTCAAAGCTTTGTGTAGTAAAGAAAGAAAATGTAGTAGAAGGGGAGTCATAACACAGCCCACCTCTTCAGGCACCGAACGTGTGCAGTCCAGATTGTTGGTAGACTTGTGAGTAAATTCGAAAATTAATGACTAGGGGTGCGGGGTTGAAGGTGGAGGAAAACACTAATTTTTCCAGGGCAATAATATAGCGGCTGACTGCCGTCTTTGGCCTCCGTTCCCTGTGAATTTCTCAGATTCCTCTTCTTCGGTTTCTGACGATAGAGGGGCGGGCGGTCGTAAGGAATTTCTCAGATTCCTCTTCCTCGGTATCTGACGATAGAGGGGCGGTCGTAAGGGGTGGGGTACTGTTTTCCTTCCGAGCTTTTACCAAGGATTAGGGTGTGGAATCGCTCCTTCCAGTGGGTTGCACTTGCTTCCTGGAGGTAAAGCGCTTTCCCAGGCACTCGGCTGAGCAGAGGCCAGGCGAGCTAGGGAGAGCGGGGCGGGGGTGGCAGCCAGAGAGAAGACTCCAGCTTGTTCCCTTGAGGCGAAACGTGATTGAACCAGGATCACTTGGGAATGAAAATCAAACAGGCAAATTATTTACTCACACGAAAAGCCCATGTTTTCATTAGACTTGGAGCCATTTCGCTGCCGCATCGATGCCTTCATTTCCCTAGGGTGGCAACCAACCGGCACTGTCCGCTTCAGGGCTTTAACTGGAAGAGAGCTTGCACGGTGTTGGGACTCATTTCAGGCAGCGAAAGCAGTGTGGAGCTGCATACGCAGGCTATGTTCGCAGTGGAAAGACGCCCTCTTCAACTTTCTCAAACAGGCCTTTTGAACAGAGGCACTATTAGAAGGTGTGTGGGTGTCTCTCAAATCGTGTCTGAAGAAGCCACCTGGCCTCACTGAAACACACAAACCTACTCAGGGTATTTGTTAACTTGCGGCTAATGTGGAAGGGGTGTGTTTTGCTTTACGGCCCGTGGGAAAACAGATTGCTCAGGATTGTGATAAACGAAATTTTCCTTTCCTTAGACAAATGTAGACAAACACATGCTTCTTGTAGCTGCGTAAATAAGTAAGTTTCAGAAAGCGCAGGGTTTTTGTTGGAGGACAAAAACAAACCTTGTATGAGGGCTACATTCTTCTGGTGCCACTCTCTCCCTGTCAGTAAAAAGGCCTTTCTCCGCAGGATTTAATTCTATGCTTACTCCAGCTGACTGAATTGATTGTTTAAATTATTTTCTCCGAAGATGTGGAGGCAAGAAAAATCGCAGAAATGTAACACACCAAATAAGAACATTTAAATGAGGCACAGAGTACAATGTTGTTAATTGAAGCACATGCACTTGATAATTCAGACCTAGAGGAACACATTCTTTCTTTCTGAGCACTGATTAATGTAAATGCAGAGTCTCTCCATCTTTCTTCCCCCCTCCCTAGCTCTCTTTCTCTGCCAGTAGAGAAAAAATAGCTGATTAATTTGAATTCCCATTCCCAGTAGTATCATGCTAATTTGATATATTTTTTTGAAGAAGCAAAATCCACCACATATTTTTCCTCATCAAGTTGTGTAACCAGTTATGGAAATTAAGATGATGAAAATTAAATGCAGTCTAACATCTGATGCTACAAAGAATATAAACGAAGTACAATGAAACTAAGGAATATTAAATATTAAAAGAAATTTCATTCTTGGAGTAGAGTTTTAAAGTTCATTTTAAATGTATATTTTTATTCTTAATTTAAGTTACCATTATTTTTAAAATGTGAACATAGTAAAATGTGAATGTAAATAATCCAAACGATACAATATATAAAGTATTATGTTGGAAAGAAAATTTAGTGCCCCAGGATAGTTATTGCTAATCCTAAAGCAGGTCATTCAATTTCTCTATTTATAAAACTAGTATAAAATCCCTACCCAGCCCACACTTCACACTGTCAGAAATTTAGAAAACATATTAGTTTATGAGACATTTTGACTGCAATTTAAATCTTTTGGAGGAAAAAATTTGAAATGCAAAGCAAAACCTCTATACAATACGATCTATTATAGTGATCATTGTATATGAAACTCTGACACTGGCTGTAGAACTTACACAAGCCTCTTAACTATTTTGACCATCTTGACACTATATATAAAATGGTAATAATGGTATAATGTCTGTTACAAAAAAAATCTTGGAGATGTCATCCAAAGTTGTCTCATTTATTATTTTATTTTTCTCATCTCTTATCACACCGTTTTCGTTTTAGATCCAGCTAATTATATTTCTCTGTCAAAATCACCAATGAGTTCTCTATTTCTGAATCCACTGGCCATGATTCTGTCCTCACTACATTCAACTCTTATCTGACTCAAGAGCAGAATTTGACCCATTTGATGACTCCCTTCTTGTTGAAACACTCTTCCTTTGGTTATTGTGATGTCTTCCCTGCTGATTTCCTTATCTGCTCAAACTTATTAATGTTGGAATTCCACAGGGTTTAGTTCCTGGTCCTCTACTCTTTCTTTTCTGTATTATATGCTCAAGTGATCTCATCCAATCCCAAATATCATTTATATAACATTGACACTTAAACCTGTAAAGCACTCCCAACCTGTCCGTTGAGCTTAAAAAATATAGATAGATAAATAACAGTTGTATACTTGACATCTCTACTTGAATGCTTACTAAACATCTCATACTTAAGTATCTGAAACAGCATTCTGGCTCACCACCCCAGTGAAAGTGTTCATTGTCTTTATTAAGTAAATGTACCACTACCCACCAGGCTAAAGCTCACAATCAAGGAACCATCTCAAAGTTTATCTTCCCTTACCTACAACATACAAAGAATCAATCAGCCAGGACTCTTGCTTCTGTTTCTAAAATATATCCCAAATCTACCCACTTCCTCTAGGATAACTTTTTCACTCTAGTGCAAGTGGCTATATTATCTTATTTGTACTAAATCAGTAGTCTACTTATTTATCTCATCATAGCCAGATTTTTTTCTTGGACTCCTTCCGCTGCACAGCACTGGGAATAAATTTTTGACAACATCAATTCTTCCTTCTATAGCATGCCTTTGCTTAAATTCTCCAGGGTTTCCTAATACACTTTGGATAGCATCTGGCTTTGCCAGTCTGATATTTATCTATTACTCTCTCTTCCTTGATCACCTACATTTCAGGTCCTCATATTGGCCAAGCTCAGTCCTGCCTTGGGGACTTTGCAGGTGCCATCCCCAAAGCCTGAAATATCATTCTCCCTGCCCTGTCTTCACTCTAGATCTTTACATGCCTGGCTCCTTTTCCTTCAGGTCTCAAACTAAATGTCACATTATCAAAGCCTCCTTGACACCCGATTTAAGCAACCCTAATGATCTCTTTGTGTGTCCATTTATTATAATGTCTATAACAAGTATCACTGTGGGAAATTACTGACCTGTGATTTTCCTTACTGATTCTCCTCTTTATGATCCAGGCTGCAGGAAAGCAGTAATCTTTCGTGTCTTGTGAGTCCCCTTCCTAAGAACAGTGCCCAGCACATAGTGGCTGCTCAGTAAATGGTTGGTAATTGAATGATTAAAAGACTGAAGCTCTATGATAATTCCTGAGAGTGCAAAATTAAACAAAATATTGTTTTTGCTCTGCAAACCTGGGAAATATTTATTTACATTAATAAGAGCTTCAATACTGTGATCACTTCCTATACTACGGGCTTTTAAAAAATATGCTCATCCATTTTGAAACTATCAAAAGTGTATTTTCAACGTTGTAATAAGGATTTATTTTTAGAGGGATTCACCTTGCATGCTTATATAATTGTAATATTTTAGTATAATTAACTAGATAAACATTCATGTTTAATATAACAAAAGCTATTCATAGTCTGGCAAAAACAAAAAGTCATAGGTGGGGGATGAGAGAGAAGGTGAATGGATTAGAAAGTACAAATTGGTAGTCACAAATTAGTCACAGGGATGTGAAATACAGTATGAAGATTATAATCAATAATGTAGTAAAGGTTATGTAGGGTGTCAGATGGATACTGGACTTATTGGGGGGGATCACTTAATAGATTGTGTAGATGCCTGACCACTGCTCTGTACATGTGAAGCTGATGTAAAATAATATTGAATGTCAATTATAATTACACACACACCCACACACACATACACACACACATGAGATGTGATTAAAAAAACATGGTAAATGTTTAAATTTTAAAAATGTATTATAGTAAAGGACACATTTCCATTAATCCCCCTCAAAATACTCCCCCTGGCTTTGAACACACTTACCTCATTGATCTTGCCACTTTCTGAAGCAGTTCTGGAAGTCCTCTTTCATGAATGTCTTTAGTTGTGCTGTGGTGGCTGTCTTGATGTCCTGAGTCCATTCAAAACATTTACCTTTCATGGTCATTTTTACTTTGGGGACGAGCCAGAAGTCACACAGTGCCAGATCTGGTGATTAAGGTGGATGAGGACACACCGGTAATATTTTAATTTGACAGAAATTGCCACACCAGAAGCAATGTGTGACATGGCGCCTTTCCATTGTGATTAAGCAATATGGTGAATGGTGCTACCAAGTGCCATCCAAAGGAAAGGCAGGGATCTTCAATACAGGAAGCAGCACATCAAACCTTACTAACAGTGTGTGACAAGTTTCAACTGGTTGGGTCCAGTCAGTCAGGTGTGCACTACGTTGAGAGACGGTGTGTTTTAAAGTGTGCCCTAAATCATCCTCCATCATGACAACATCCTGTGTCATACATCACTTCTGGTATA